GTGTTTCTTTAACAAAATCTGAGATTAGATTCTTAACTGAAAGAATCCGAAAATGGATTTTTGTGTTTCTTTACTTGAGCAGATTAATCCAAGATCTCTCAGATCATGGTGCATCAAAGGAATTGAAGAATCTGCTTAGATTGATTTATTTAAGTAAAGAAACAAAGCAAAATCCATTTTCGGAATCTTTGGGATTTGAGAATCCAATCTTCGATTTTCTTTAAGAAGTGCACCCTTTGTGTTGCAATATTTGCAATATTTGGGGGTGGGGGAGGGGGGTAATACCTTATATTGCATTGTTTCCCAACAAGATAAAGTACAAATTTCACTTCTACTATTTAAAAACAACCTTCCCAATTTTAGAATATCTCAGCTGGAAGGTTTTTGCTTTCCCCACCTCCCCAGTATAACAATATTTCCTTGCCCACCCCTACCCCAACCCTTAAGTATAACATACCCTTTTTACCTTGTACTAGCCAGAGTACCAGAAGTGCACCTCAAACTTGCACTTACCTTTGCCAACACCGTAGTTGTAATACATAACAAAGCTAGTTGTTGTTTCTAATTCGTGTTCTTTCAGTAGTTTTTCTGCTGATTGTACATCGGGCACTAAACCAAAAGTCCCAGAGAAGTTTTCATAGGACATGGCTCAGAGATAGAATGTAGAGCAAAAATTATCTTAAAAAAAAAATTCGATTCTATTCGATTTTCCCGCGTTTCTGGTTAAATACTGACTAAGTTGGGGTATCTGGAATACGCAATTATCTAGCTTCCAATCCTCTGGGCTGAATTCTCGGCCCCATAAACAAAAGGTATCCTTGTGCATCCCCTGAGATGATAGATGAACAGACTAGACCTCAGTTATTTCAGTGTTCACACTTACTGCGTGATAGATAAATATGAAAATAAACATGAAAGTATCAACATACAGAAGAGTCTACAACTTTCTCATGCGTTTCATTTTTTAATTGCTTTACTTCACCAGTTTAACTATAACATACAACAGCAAATATAAGAGTGACAAAACGTATACATGCGCGCGATCAAACGATGCATACTCGACACAACGGTTACGTTTCTCCCAATAAACGAGTATCTTGATCACTTCAGTATCACATTGAGCATCAATCGATTTTTTGGAGATTTTGTTTTTCCAGCACTTCGCCGATATTGCTTACTCATCCGCCATTTTGTTTTTGCCGACTTTTTCCGATGACACTCGGTCCCAGTCTCAGAAGGAGGGAGGGCCTTCTGGTCCATCCCTTCAAGTGACTTCCGAAATTTGCAGACACGTTTCAAATTTCAATTTCATAACGGCTAGAAGCTAGTCACTTTCAGGGCACAGTTCCGCTAATCAGCGGTCTAACACAACAGTGGACTGATACTTCCGGTTTACTTTGTCTCGAATATTTCATATTCGTGAAAAGCGAAATAAATTAAATATGCGACAATAATGAGATAAAAACTGATTAAACATTGAAGACTCACCTTAAAAGCTTAGAAAGCTGGAAAATGGAAAGCATTTGTGATCAGCTCAATTTGCTTAATAGGAATACGCATACATGCACACCTTGTATTGTAAAAGCCTTTTACTCAAACCATCGAGAATTGGTTTAAGTAAAAAGTTTTATCCGGATTTTCTGGGATCTTCCGAAAGCTGTCTACGCCAAATTCACACTGGAGAATAAGTATAATAGGCATCCACAGCAAAGCTCAAGCAAAACGCCACCCTGATTACACATTTCTAGCCACTGCATTCCACTCTACTGTTTCAAAATTCTAGTGAAGAGATTTCCTATGGGCGCACAAATATTCGTCTTTATAATCCAACAAATGTCTTTGCTAATAAACGATTGGTTTAAATGTGACATGTGACCGAATTTGCCTAAGTTAGGGAAGTATTCGGTGATAGTTCCGTCTTCAAACTTTGCCTCCAGCGTGCATACATTTTTCCTTTAAAGTTTGATATAATTAGGTAGAGTGTTTTGCTATTCTCGAACACTATCTGTTCTTTAAAACTCACAGCTTTCCCCGAGTTTCTCTTGCGTAAAGCTGCTGCCTTGTTGAGACAGATGTCATACACAAGCATATTATCGCGTCAAAAGTGGATATTTCTTTATGCATAATAGATAGTTTGCTAACATTAAAAGTCTGAAAATGATACTAACCGCCGAAGCACGTTTTGTAAAACCCTAAGTTTCTAATGTCGGTCGAAGTCGCATTTTTAGGGGGGAATCTCCCTTGGAAATTATTACCCGCATTTACATTAGGCCGTCAACGATATCGACGGGTTATCGAATAGATGACTGTGTGTATTGCCAAGAAATGAGAATATTCTCTAAATATTTCCTCGGTATTTACTTGTCATTTTGTTGTCTTTGGTTTGTCATACTTGTAGACACTCTTGTAACATCAATTAGAACGTTTATAAGGTTTCATTCCTCAGTATGTTGCAGCCAAACAAAAATACCACTAAATCCACAAAGATGAAGTTCGCAAAGTGATGATCACCGCTCTAAAACTGACATCGAGCCATTTCAACCTCATGAACCCGTATTTAATTATTTACAGCGTTACCTGATTGAACAAGGTTTTTTAGTGGAATTAACCCAGTGTCTTTGCTTTGTTAGCATTCAGGCGATGATCACGATCTTTACTACTGCGCTTACATATTGTGCCCTGAAGCATTTGGGTTGATTGGAGGAACTGTAAGTATCAATTAAACATGATACGAAAACCTTTCCAAACAAAAAAAACAATCAAGTCTTTTCTAAATAAAAACAAGTTCGGACGTTCCTATGTCACGTTCGTTCGTAATTTGTATTTTGACTCAATAATGTTGTTGAAGAATTATGATCTAGATTCTTAGCTTTGAGTCTCAAATTGTTATCATGATGACGTCTTCTGCCAAATTTTTGAAACATGATGGAAAATGGAAAGAGCAGCATCCAGTAACAAGCATCTACTGAACAACATTTGTAAAACCAATTAAAGGCAGTTTCAATATAATAATCATTCATCACTGATCAGCCATTCATGTCTTGTTGTTTCAGTGTTTTCAATCAAGGTTTATGCAGCTATTCTAGTTCTATGAATAAAACCTGCTAAAAATTTTTTTCAGTACTAAAAATTGATTGAAAAATGGTTTTCAATCTGCTCTTTTCAATTTAAAGCGCTAGACAAGAAAATGTCAGTCGCCAGTTCTCTAGTTCAGTGAGGCATAGTCTGGCAGCTATTTAAAGACGTTATTAAATCTTAAATTTTCCAAACTATTCGTTAGGAGAGAGCAATTTTTTTTTTTGCCTGGCTCCGAAATACGTCAAAAATTTTGACTTTAAAGATGGTGACTGGTTGTTTGTCAATAGTTTTACTGAGATCTGATTTCCTTAAGATAAAAGGACTATACGAACGGTAAAATAACAATGAATATTGGTAACTTTCACCTGTTGACACACGCTGTGTATGACGAGGTGGTAAATTCTTTGTGCGAAACCTTTACCAGAACTGAAGTTTTTCATGCGAACCTTTCTCTTATTTATGTTTAAGGCGAAGCCAAAACATTTTTCTGTTCTTTAAAGATGTGCAGAAATGCTGACAGTAATCTTGATTTCAAAGTTCGTTTACAAATTCCATAGACCCTCATAGCTTCCTGCATTTAGAAAGTTTGGCGTTTATTGGCTTTCAGGGCCATGCGCGATGAGTTAAGTTTGAAAAGTGAAGCTTTCCCTTTTTGATATAAGAAAACAACAAGAACGACAAAAAGAAAGAAAATAACAGCAACAATGACGAGTCCCTTCATATTTTCCCAAATAATGTTTATGTAACTATGCTTTTCAGTAACATGATACTTCTCATTTCTCGTCTCGCTAATGATTCCTATTAATCCGTCAAGGTTTAGAGAATCAATAATGACTTTGAAAAATGTTTATTACCATTTAGCCAAGTTCGGCAGCTGTGGACAGAAGACGCGCCATGGAAACCTCCAAGCTGAGCTTTCTATTGCTAGCTGCTGTAACTTTGTTCACAACAGTCAAACATGTTGCTGGTAGGTAATTCCATGTAATGTCTCTGTATTACGGTACAAACAGGAGCGACAAAGACCCTCAACTCTAAACTACTTTAAACGACCGATCCGGGCTGACTTCTTCAAAAATCTTACCAAACAGTTCTTGCACAAAACGAAAACACTTCCTGAATCCAAATTCTACATTTGAATATCCTTGAGGTAGACTAATGAGAACATTTTTTACACGGAGTGAAATGGATCTCCTGTTTGAAAACTGAGTCCGTTTAAAAAGAAGTAGTGATGTGCTGTTCATCATCTCTTACAAAAAAAGAGTCTTCACCAGAAAGTTCGAAAGAATTCCTGTTGATGATTTGCAAAAAAAGTCGTTTTTATCAGGTCTATTGAGCTACATTATCTTCCAAAGGTGAGGCATTTGAGCATGGGTTACTGAAAAATAACGAAAGAAATTTAACCGAGTCGGCGGAAGAGAGCAACGCTGATAAGCCCAGGGAAGAATACGATGAATTCCAAGTAATATCCTCTGAGAACAATAGAATCCAAGATGACGGAAAATCTTCCGGTGGGTCTAAAAAACAAGGTATGGTCTCTCTACTTAACTATGAACATAAAATTACCATATACATGTTTATAAAATTATACATAAAGATAAAAAAAAAACGTAATGAACAAACACGCGTTCATAAGAAAAGCTCGACGAAAGAATGTCAATATTTAAGAAACAAATGGTGGCAAGGATGTTGTCTGACAAGTCTCATGACGTATTTCGCTGAAATTTCCATTCGAATGTTCAATTTACCAAAAGTTGAAATCTTAGAACTGACTCAAGGAGGCAAACGATTGGCAAAGAAGATTGACGCATAACTTGTTTAAGTTCTAACTATTGAAGGTTTTCTTCTTACTTAAAAGGGACATCCGCGGGTTCTAAACGAGCTCTACCTGCTTTAGCAGCCACAGTTTTAAAGAATCCTAAGATACAGGAGGCTGTTGTTGATAAGGGATTGGAAGTAATGAACAAACTTGTGGATAAACAACTCAAAATTATTGATGAAGCACAAGAGAAGGCCTCAAGATTTTTGGCTAGAGATGTAAGTAACACTTTGCAAGTATAATACACTATCAGAGAAGCCAGCCGTGGGCATAGAATGTCGTGGGCATAGACTGCACCAATAAAACGTACTTTTATTGGTGCAGTCCTGCTTAGACACTTTGTAGATCAGTAATTTTAAATACTTTAAAGTATCATATGAAAAATGTTTTCGAAGCCATCTGCTGATCACCATTTTTTGACAGATAATCAGACACAAAAGTTAAAGAAAGCTTTTCACTCTACAAAGCAGTATAAATAAAAATAGCCAGCGAGTATTTCAACAGCAACATCTACAGGAAAGAATGAGAGAAAAAAAAATTACGCAGAAATAAAACAAATAATGGGTAAACAAAACTTTTTTTCTACCCAATCGGGAATCATTTCGATTCTGAAGAGGTGATCAAAGTTTTTTTTTTCTCTCAGCCTGTACGCATCATTGGTATTCATATTCTTCCTAATGTTTTCTCTACAAAGTACAAACAAGGAGAATTTGTTTAACATTCAAAAGCATCCATAGTTGGGATCATTTTCTTCATTATATCGCAACCTTAATTGAGGGTCTGGATGGGCGGGTACAGATGTCATTTTTCATTTAAAATTTCGGCCATTTATCAGTTGTCAGTTACTGAAATTTTTGGCCATTTGTCAGTTGTCAGTTAAATGACTGTTAATAATTAACTTGGCAAGTTAATTATTACTTCCGCCCCTATATTTTTGACTGGAAAGTCACATAAAGCGTAAACTCGAAAATTAAGTCGAAAATTGATACAAGAAGAACTGCTTTTTCTCAGTTCTGCGACTCTTCTTCACGGAAACTTCTGTTTTTCCTTGCGCAACATTCCTTTGCAACCACTTAGCGGGTCAAAATGTTGGAAAGAAGATCATCAGAAAGAAAACAAATTTGTTAAGAGTCCTCTAGCACAATTTAATGGTTTTATGTTTCGTTTTACAATGCTTCGACTGCGATTGGCTCCTATGAAATGATTGGAAAGGAACGTTATTTTGTCTACTTTTCAATAAGGTTATTAGAGAAAGCGTCCCTTAGAAATCCAAGCGGAAATAGGTGCGAACTGGTCGCCCGGATCTAGAAACCGCAACTGGGGTAATATTTTTCATCCTCTCGATCAGAAAGTCGTTTTCTGAGTCCCTGTCATATTCCTCTGCATGCGTTCGCACCTCAGCAACTGCCACTTCAATGATACAGTCGTCAACAAATGGGATATTAGTGTCACATTCCCACCTTCCGAAGTAGCTTGAACGGCTCTTTTGTCGCTGCTGAGCCCTACTGACTGATTTCCAGAGTTAACATTACAAAATTAAAATTACCTAGTCCCGCCAACAAATCCACTTTGGTGGAAACTTGTTGCTTCGTGTAGACGACCGGTGGTAAAGCCCTTGTCCTGTCCTTGGTAGTCTCCTCCCGAACTGTCCTTTGCCTCAAGGGACGATACTTCTCCACAAATTCTTTCATAGCACTTTCAATCTCGGGGTCGATATCTAGTGAAGGTAGAGGTCGCGTAAAGTTTACATTTGGAAACTCAGCTCTGGTCTGAGGGACCGGATAGTTGGGTTTTTCATGATTAAAATACTTGGTTGCCCATTTTGTTTGTCTCTTCAACGTTTCCTTGGTAATCAAACCAAAGTCACGAGGTTACTTCTTGCGCCTTCGACGTAAATGTACCAGTTGGCCCAGCTGCAGTTAAGACTCTGTCCAAGGTGAACCACATCTCGTAAGGCAACAACAAGGGACAGTTCTGCAGGCAAGGTCTCATTCTTCGCACTAGAAATCATTACTAACTAGCCTTTCTTATTGCATTCCTTGTAATCAGTTACAGCAGCCATAACAAGGAATCTGTTGCACTTTAAGCCCTCTGCGAGATAGGTGTTAAAAGAAGGTATGTGAGAGGTGTGGACCTTTTCCATGCAATTCGCCAACACAGACTTAGTGGCTAAACAGTCATTACAGCTACTTAAACGTGGGGATACTTCGTATGACACAATGTGATTTGCTGCATTGATTTGCTTTAAGCATCGTTCGCATATTTGTATTGTCTTGACAGAGTTCTGAATGGACTGTACCATTTCCTCGCCAGAGGCAGACTTCGATCGATACCAAACTAAAACGAGAATTGAGGTACCGTTGTCTAGGGTCGTGGCATAAATTACTTCAGCGCTAGTTATTACTTTGTCCTTTATCTATTGTGGTTCTGGAATTGTGCTGTTGGCTAAAATTTTCGGCTCTAAAGGATTCACTGGTCCGATGACCTTCTTTTGTCGTCGATGGAACTCGAGGCCAGGTTTCATTGGAGTACCATCTATGGCCTAACACACTGGAGTTACTTTAACTATATCGGTTGAGATAACGGGTGGTAGACCAGCAGCTGAGTTGAAGACAAATGAGTACAGAGATAGCAGGTGGGGCTTTATTACACCACTGTCTGTTGTATATCCGGTGTAGAAATGAACGCTTCGAAAAGTTGCTTGATGGATCGCGTAGGTTAAAATCAGAAAATGTACGAAACTCTTCTGCTCTGCCTCTTACAGTACCTACAAAACCAGAGCCTCTGATAAAGTTTCGAGTTCTAGTTCCTCCTAAGTACCTAATGGTATCATAAAACTCACATACATCCCTGTCCCATGTGAAGTTTGAAGCTAAGTGTGGATTGACTGAGGCAAACGATGTTGTGTTGTCAACAAATTTGTAGTACAAGAAATCACTTGGGATCTTTCTTTCTTTGAGGAGATTGTTTAGCTTTATTGCGACGAGATGTGCATTTACCACTCTCCTGAAAATACCGAAAAAATGTACACGTTGATTTTAGTCATAGGAAAGTAAGTTTGAAGTTTATAAGTTTTGTGCCAGCCGCTTTTGTTGGACATTGTATTTCGTTTGGAACGATGAAACGCGAAAATGAAGCATTTGACCCCTGCCTCAATTTTAATTGAATCATTCTCACTATTTAAATGACAGAACATGCTGAGACTTTCAAATATGGCGATCGAATTCTCACGACAAAGTTCGAGGACAGAAAATTCCAACGAAAAAATCCAAATAAACCTAAATTTAGACAATTTCACTTGCAGATTAAAGCCAGTCGATTCCTCAGGGTCCTCCTTTCCACTACTGCCTATGTCCGATGACCCCTCAGATTTCTCGTCTATTACGTGTTCAGACTCTTCATGATGGGTGGAAGGTAAGGGTGACTTCCCTTCCTCGTTTGATATTCGACTGTCGGCGTCCAGGTTATATTCACCATCCAATTCTGCGTCTATCCCCTCACTTCCATGGAAAGACATAACTGGGAGTCAGATTATCGGGAGTTTTCATTCTTCACTGATAAAAATGATTTCGCTCGTCTAGTGTTTAAATCTGACTGAATGGATGGATCATGTCAGGGGAATACTTGGAGTACCTACTACTAAAGAGGTAAAGGTAAAGTCTGTTTACGAGCCTAGTGGCCCATTAGGCCGGTGCTTAACTCCGGTTTCTGTAGCATGAAGCGACTAGGAGTATTTCTACTCCCCCCTGGATGGGATGCTAGTCCATCGCAGGGTTACCCCCAGCATTAAATTGCCGGTACCCATTTATACACCTGGGTGAAGAGAGGCACTGTGAGAGTAAAGTGTCTTGCCTAAGAACACAACACAATGTCCCGGCCGGGGCTCGAACCCGGACCACTCGATCCGGAGTCGAGCGCACTAACCATGAGGCCACCGCGCCTCCAC